CCCTTCTTCCACAGCTCCTCCCCCTGCATCGTCAGCTCTTCCTCTTCTTCCACAGCTCCTCCCCCTTTATCATCAGCTCCTCCCCCTTCATCATCACCTCCTTTTTCCCTTTCAACTACAACTCTTTCTCCTCCTCCTTAACATTAGCTCCTCCTATACATTCACAGCTCCTCCCCTTCATCATCAGCTCCTCCCCTTCTTCCACAGCTCCTCCCCCTTCATCGTCAGCTCCTCCTCTTTTCCCACAGCTCCTCCCCCTTCATCATCACCTCCTTTTTCCCTTTCAACTACAACTCTTTCTCCTCCTCCTTATCATTAGCTCCTCCTCTATACATATATAGCTCCTCCCGTTCTTCATCAGCTCCTCCCCCCACCGTTTCCCTGTCCTGAAGGCTAGTTCCTATAACTCTCCAGAGTGGAGTGTCCTGTAAAAGCTCCTTTACATTTCAAAGACTCTCAGTGAAGGACTGAAGCTCCACACTGAAGAGGGTCCAGCAAGTCCTCCATCCGTCAGATCTGAACAGCAGTTTGCCTCTTTGCAGTTTCTCCCCAAAGTGAGCCGTCTGTCCTCGAGCCGCGCTGCTCTTTTCTGCTGATCCCGTGTCAGTGATCTGGAACTCCATTCACAGTAATCACTCAAATCTGAGAGAGCCACGGAGGATTGTGAGTGTCAGGTTCAAACCCTCTGACGGCTCGCTGTGGGGAAATGAAGAGCCGATGACTGCATGTGAAAACTGATGAGATGCTCCACTCGACAGCAGATAATCCCACACTGATCGCTCTCACAGCAGCAGAGAATCAGACGACGGTCAGTGAGTGTGTTTCAGATCTGATCTCAATCCCTGATCAATCTCACTTTTACTTTTACTCCGTGTCCTGACCAGGGTGTGAATAACAGGGGGGTTTGTGGGGGATTGACCCCTTAATTAACAGACGGATGTCAAAACAAGTTGCATGGGGGTCATTGAATGCCCTTCCAGCTGCAACCCAGTACTGGAAAACACCCATAAACCCTCATTCACACACACACTCATACACTACGACCAATTTAGTTCATCAATTGCCCAATTAATCAGGGGTTGCCACAGCGGAATGAACTACCAACTTATTCTGCATATGTTTTAAGCAGCAAATGCCAATCCAGCTGCAACCCAGTACTGGGAAACCCCCATAAACACTTAGTCACATACACACTCAAACACTACGACCAATTTAGTTAATCAATTCCCCAATCAATCAGGGGTCACCACAGCGGAATGAACCACCAACTTATCCAGCATATATTTTAGACAGCTGATAGCCTTCTAGGCGCAACCCAGTTCTGGGAAACACCCATAAACACTCATTCACACACACACACTCATACACTATGGCCAGCTTAATTAATCAATTCCCCAATTAATCAGGGGTCGCCACAGCAGAATGAACCGGCAACTTATCCAGCATATGTTTTAGGCAGCAGATGCCCTTCCAGCTGCAACCCAGTACTGAGAAAACACCCATACACACTCTTTCACACCCATACGGCCGATATAGCATATTCAGTTCCCCTATAGCGCATGTGTTTGGACTGTGGGGGAACCCGGAGCACCCGGAGGAGACCCACGCCAACACGGGGAGAACATGCAAACTCCACACAGAAACACCAACTCACCCAGCCGAGACTCAAACCAGAGACCTTCTTGCAGTGAGGCCACAGTGCTAACCGATGCACCACCGTGCCGCCTAAATACAAACAAAAACACTTAAATATTATCCATTCCATGACCCAAATGCGGTTAACCCAATGTGTTTGTCCTTGTTTGACCCAACTCTGGCTGTTAACCCAGCATTTTGTACAGTGTGCATATGGTGTGTTTTCCCTCTCATTAGCAGCGCTGCACTGGGTTCACCAGAGCTTAAGATGAATTATTAAAGTGACACAGATATGACGGGTCATATTTAAATGTGAACATGGAAAGCTTAGCATCGTGATCCGCTCATTAATCTCAGATATCTCCAGAGGCTCTGAAGTCTCACTGTTAACTCCATGTTTCACGCCGAGACACCAAATCTGACATCTTCTGAGCATATTCATCCTTTCTCAGCTGCTTTCTCCAGTCTCAGTGTTGCGCACCACATTAGCGCGAGTCCTCCACATGTCACGTGTGCTAATGCCAGCTGCTTTATCCTGCAAATATACTATAATCCTCTCTATAATGTGGAGTTACATCTAAACGTGTGTGTGTGTGTGTGTGTGTGTGTGTGTGTGTGTGTGTGTGTATGTGTGTGTGTTTGAGAGTATATGAGTGTGTGAGTGTGTGCTCAGGCCTCGGCCCTCTGCCTGCATATTTATTGACTTGAAAGGGAATAAGTGAGATCGTGTCGTGTTTACACTCATTTCTTGTGCCAGTTTCAGTGAAATTAGGTCGGAACCCAGAAGAAATCAGCTGCCTTTTATGTCATTTAATGTGAAGATCCTCCAGCTGTCAGATGTGTGCAAGACTCACTCCCCACATAAGGAAACACTAGCGTATGCCATACTGTTGTGTATACTAAAGAGTGAATGTACGGAACATGTAGTACACTCTTAAAAATGCTGTTTAGGTCATAAGTTGGGTCATATATGGACAAACCCAACCAAGGACTACAGTAATCAATCTGTTGTTGTGATTCTACAGTTGCTATGGTAACAACGACTAGAGTAATTAATATGTTGTGGTGATTCTAAAGTTGCTATGGTAACAACGACTACAGTAATGAATCTGTTGTGGTGATTCTACAGTTGCTATGGTAACAACGACTACAGTAATGAATCTGTTGTGGTGATTCTACAGTTGCTATGGTAACAACGACTAGAGTAATGAATCTGTTGTGGTGATTCTACAGTTGCTATGGTAACTCAACAATCACAGTAATGAATCTGTTGTGGTGATTCTACAGTTGCTATGGTAACAACGACTAGAGTAATTATAATTAATATGTTGTGGTGATTCTACAGTTGCTATGGTAACAACGACTACAGTAATGAATCTGTTGTGGTGATTCTACAGTTGCTACGGTAACAACCACTAGAGTAATTAATATGTTGTGGTGATTCTACAGTTGCTATGGTAACAACGACTACAGTAATGAATCTGTTGTGGTGATTCTACAGTTGCTATGGTAACAACGACTACAGTAATGAATCTGTTGTGGTGATTCTACAGTTGCTATGGTAACTCAACAATCACAGTAATTAATTTTTTGATGATTCTACAGTTGCTATGCTAACAACCACTAGAATAATTAATCTGTTGTGGTGATTCTACAGTTGCTATGGTAACAACGACTACAGTAGTTAATTTGTTATAATGATTCGACAGTTGCTATGGTAACAAAAACTACAGTAATGAATCTGTTGTGGTGATTTTACAGTTGCTATGGTAACACAACAACTATAATAATATAAAAAATGAGCCAATACTGTAGTTTTCTACAGCTACAGCGTATAATAATCAACAATACACCACAGTTACTGTAGTAAAAGCTAAAGTACAGTACATTATTGTTAATACTACTGTATGCTGCTGTGAGATGTGGTCAATTCTGTATTCTGTGGTATTGTTTCATATCCGAACACAAGTGACATCATGTATGTTTATGAAGGAGCAGGCAGCATCAGAGTGGCTGTTGTCTTTATCACTCACTCAGACGGGATGTAAATGAAGATATGCCACATGTGTACGGGAGATTACGGTGTGTTTTTGTTCCTCTGGAGAGTGTGTGTTGCAGCACATGCTCAGAGACACATGATAAGGTCATGATTCTGTCATCAGCGCAGAGATCAGGACAATTTCATCATGCATTTTTCCAATCTGATGCCCTTAATTCCGCATCTACATCAGCAAGACTGCTGTTTTCTGTTTAATCGGATGCTGGGAGAGATGCCAGATCTGTGTGCGGGAAACTCCAGACATTCACAAGACGACAGGAACAAACCTACAGTTTATTGATTATCATTTCCCGCTTGAAAAATAACTACAGTACATCTTAGGATTATACTATTTTTTATTGGTTAATGTTCAAAAAAACATTTCAAATAAAAATTTAACAAAATAAAACAAAGGAGAATAAATGTGTTGTTATTTTTTCCTTTTTGTTGTTTTAAAAAATACAATAGAAACCCACATCAAACAAAACAATGTGGTTATTACTACAGTGTGTTTGAGCCAAACTTCATTAAAATTCTACAGTTGCTATGGTAACACAACTATAGTAATTGATCTGTTGTGGTGATTCTACAGTTGCTATGGTAACACAACTATAGTAATTGATCTGTTGTGGTGATTCTACAGTTGCTATGGTAGCACAACTACCAAAGTAATTGATCTGTTGTGGTGATTCTGTTGTTGCTATGGTAACAGCCACTATAGTAATTAATCTGTTGTGGTGATTCTACAGTTGCTATGGTAACACAACCACTATAGTAATTGATTTGCCATGGTGATTATAATAAACTTTCCTTTAGTATGGTTCAAAAACACTAGTATTTACTACACATTACTGTAGTATTTTTCATTTGGGATGATGACGAAAGAGAACAGAAGCCATTAAAATCAAATCAGCAAAAGAGGAATATATCATGTAAGAGCATTTACAAATATTGGGTTTTTGTAAAAGAGAACGAAATATATTAGATAATTAAAAATAATAGAATGATATTTTCGCCAAATGAGCTTAAATATAAGAAAATGTTTTTTTATAATTATTTAATGAAGGTTTATCGTCATGATGACGTACGTCACAATAGATCATAATTCCTAACTTTATGAAATTATTATATTCTTTTTTGTGAGTGTCACTCGTTGATAGTGTACTTATTGCACTGCTACATGTGTGTTCCTATGTTCAGCAATGCAAAAGCGAACTTTATGAATGATATTAATGAAATATTCGTGCTTTAATAATCGTGTTTCATGCGCCACCGCGCGGTCCACCTCTGAACTGCAGCAGCGGCGCGCTCTGGCGTCATCTCTACGCGCCGAGACGCGCGCACACGTGTCTCACTAGCGTCTGCGGTGTTTTCATCGCACATTTCTTTAATTTCCTCGATTATCTACCATCCTTTAGAGCTTCAGAAATGGCCCAGAGAAAGAAAAAGCTGATGAGGAGGAAGAAAAGCGGCGCAAACCGCGATCACGAGCTCCAGTCCGACGATGAAGAGTTTGAGGTGGCCGCAGGAGTCAAAGATGACGAAAATACCGTGAGTTTCACACGCTTTCTGTCGGAGAGTCACCGATTATGTGTGTGTTTTCTTTAAGTCGTCAACTGATTCAGCTGTGGAGACTCAAATATTAACACAAGATTCCTCATCCACCGATAAAAGTGGACATTTGTAGAGCTTTAACATGATTTCTCCTCCAACATTAGACAAGCTGAGAACATATGAGCTGTCATGTTTCCCTGATCAGTTTAAGAAAACAGACACTGAGATATGAGACAGTAGTGTATAACCACCCAAATGCTGCTTTTGAGACTTGTTGCTGACTTTATTAATGTTTGCATCAAGCTTATTTGTGTTATAACAGCTACTATTACATATTTACAAGACTGAATTTACAACAAATCGCTCATCTGATACAGCTGTGACTGTAGTTATTAAATATGTCATATCATCACCTGATTACATTGTAACCTCCTATATGACCTACAGAAAAGAGCATTTAAGCTTAATCTATCGAAATATTGTTTTGGTTGTACTACAATTATACCTTTTTGAGGAATGCAGAGCGTATAAAGCTTTCAGAAACTGCATATTAAATCACAATATTACTATAAAACAAAACGAAAATGCTGATTATTTCCCCTAAAATATGTGGTGATTCAGCAGTTGCTATGGTAACACAACTATTACAGTAATTGATTTGTTGTGGTGATTCTACAGTTGCTATGGTAACACAACAACTACAATAATCTGCTGTAGTGATTCTACAGTTGCTATGGTAACACAACAACTACAATAATCTGCTGTAGTGATTCTACAGTTGCTATGGTAACAACAACTACAGTAATTGATCTGTTTTGGCAATTCTACAGTTGCTATGGTAGCACATCCAGTACAATAATGTCCTGTGGTGATTCTACAGTTGCTATGGTAACACAACAACTACAATAATTGATCTGTTGTGGTGATTCTACAGTTGCTATGGTAACACAACAACTACAATAGTTAATCTGCTGTTGGTGGTTCCACAGTTGCTATGGTAACACAATAACTATTGTAATATAAACAAATGTCTAATATTGTAGTTTTCTCCTACTTTTACCATTATAAATATACATATTATACATACTTATTGTTTTGGTCATACCACAATGGTTTATTATTGCTTGTCCTTTTTAAATAATACAGAACTTAAAGAGCTTTCAAAAAATGCTTATTAAATCACAATATTAATTAACTAATGAACAAAAGAAAGACGCTGATTGTTTTCCCCTATATCTTCAGCACATGTTGTTGTTTTGTCTGTCGTATTCAGTTTGAATCAGTTTGGCCTGGAGGTAATCGTCATCTGAATTCCTGCTAGTTTGCTTGTGTCTTGAACACTGTCATTAGCAGCAGTATTGTGAGTGTGCTGTAAGATCAGTGTGTGTGTGTGTGTTTGCTTTTGCAGACGGTCAGGAGGCTTCCTCGGTTTCCGGCCTCATCTGAGTGCGTGTCTGACGTGGAGCTGGACACCAGAGAGCTGGTCAGAGCTCAGAACAAGAAGAAGAAGAAATCTGGAGGCTTTCAGTCTATGGGTGAGCAGGAAATCTGGCAATGCAGAGTCTAAAGCTGCTCCCTGCGTGTGTGTGTGTGTGTGTGTGTGTGTGTGTGTGTGTGTGTTTGCGCACATGCTGTCTGCTTTTCAAATAACACACTTAAGCATGCAAAAGTGTGATATGGTTATAGATTTCACAATATAAGTCATGCCATATCCTGATGATGATGTGTATCCCAGTATAGTCGCATGTCTGCACTCATATTAGTCATGAACAGTATTACTGTAAGCGATGTTGCAACATGAATGTTATGAATATGCATAATATGAAGCGACAGACTTTTTATTTTGTCCGTATGTCTTATATGAGTGTGTTCTTCTCTTCAGGTCTCAGCTATCCGGTGTATAAAGGCATCATGAAGAAGGGCTATAAAGTGCCCACACCCATCCAGAGGAAGGTAAAGTGCTGCATGAGCTGATGATGGACACGGTTACAGCAGAGCTCAGTTGCTCCTGAAACTCTGGATCATCAATATGATCTTTAATCCAGTAGCAGAAGTAATCAGTCCATGCTGGAGTTGTTAAGAGTATATTTGTGTGTCTCTTGCAGACGATCCCGGTGATTCTGGACGGTAAGGATGTGGTGGCGATGGCCCGCACCGGCAGCGGTAAGACTGCAGCGTTCCTCGTTCCCCTGTTTGAGAAGCTGAAGGCTCCGCAGGCACAGACGGGGGCTCGGGCACTGATCCTCACACCCACCCGAGAGCTCGCCCTGCAGACCATGAAGTTCACCAAAGAGGTCAGAGGCTCATTCACCTCTTCACTCATTCATTCACTCACTCAATTGTTCACTCATTCATTTTTTACTCGTTTGCTCACTTGTTTAGTCACTTACTCATTATTTGATTCTTTCAGTCAATTATTTGTTCACTTATTCATTCATTTATTCATTCATTCATGTTTACTCACTCATTCATTTACTAGTTCACTTATTTATTCACTCATTCATTCATTAACTCATGTTTTCATTCATTTACTAGTTCACTCATTCATTCATTCACTCATGTTTGCTTATTCATTCATTCATTCAATTATGTTTATTCATTCATTAACAAGTTTACTCATTCATTTACTCATTCATTTACTCATTCATTCATTCACTTGTTCATTCCATCATACAATCACTCATTTGTTCATTCATTTACTAGTTCACTCACTCACTCACGTGTTTATTAATTTATTCATCTGCTAGTTCATTCATTCATTCGCTTGTGTTTACTCATTTATTCATTTACTAGTTTAGTCATTTATTTACTCACGTATTTACTAACTCATTCATACTCTCATTTTACGTGTTCAATTCATTCATGCATTCATCTACTAGTTTAGTCATTTATTCACTTACATGTTTATTCATTCATTTACTAGTTCACTCATTCGTTCACTCACTCATGCGTTCATTCATTTTTTCATTTTACTAGTTAACTCGTTCTTTCATCATGTTTACTCATTCATTCATTTACTAGTTCTCTCATTCATTTATTCACGCATTCACTAATTTGTTAATTCATTTTCTAGTTTATGCAGTCCTTTACCCATATTTAATCAGTCATTCATTTATTTACTAGTTCACTCTTCACTCATGTTTACTTTCATTCATTTATTCATTCACTAGTTCATTCATTTACTAATTCACTCATTCATCAGTCATGTGTTTACTCATTCATCAATTCATTTTTTACTAGTTCACTTATTTATTCATTTACTAATTCACTAGTTCATACATTTATTTAGTAATTCACTCATTCATTCACTCACATGTTTACTCATCCATTATTCATTTGTTTACTAGTTCACTCATTTATTCATTTGCTAGTTCATTATTTAATAGTTCACTCATTAATTCATTTACTCACTCATTCATTCATTTACTAATTCATTCATTCATTTACCAACTCATTCATTCACTCACATGTTTACTCATCCATTTAGTCACGCTTTTACACATTTATTCACTCACGCGCTCACTCTTTTGATCACTTGTTTGTTCACTTGCTCATTCACACTTTTATTAATTCGTTCATTGGCTTGCTTGATTGCTTATTCATTCAGTCATTTACTTGTACATTTATTTCCTTGTTCATTCATTCATACACTCTATTAACTGTCCATCTTATTTATTCATCTATCCACTTGTTTATTCACTCTCACATTCATTCATTCATTCATTCATTCATTCATTCATTCATTCACTCATTCATCCAGTGTTGTGTGATTTCAGCTGGGGAAATTCACTGGTCTGAGAACAGCGCTCATTCTCGGTGGAGACAGGTGAGTGAAGGTTTGATTATGCAGTCTGGCCTCGTGTGTGTGTGTGTGTGTGTGTGTGTGTGTGTGTGTGTGTTAAACTCTGCATCAGCCGTGACTCTGTTTGTTTTCTCTGTTCTTCAGCATGGATGATCAGTTCGCTGCTCTTCACGAGAACCCAGACATGTGAGTTCTGCATCACGTGTGTGTGTGTGTGTGTGTTAGTCCAGGTGTGAATCTGTGTGTTGTTGTGTTCTCAGCATCATCGGTACTCCAGGTCGTCTGATGCACGTCATCCAGGAGATGAACCTGAAGCTGCAGTCGGTGGAGTATGTGGTGTTCGACGAGGCCGACAGGTGAGATGTGTGTGTGTGTGTGTGTATGTGTGTGTGAACTGTGTATGTCACCGATGCTGCGGTCAGATATTCCCGTGTCTTTAATAACGTCTCTCCTCCTCAGACTGTTTGAGATGGGCTTTGCGGAGCAGCTTCAGGAGATCATCAGACGTCTTCCAGACGCCCGGCAGACGCTGCTGTTCTCCGCTACGCTTCCCAAACTCATCGTGGAGTTCGCCAGAGCCGGTACACACTCAATAATAGCATAGAATTTAATATAAAACGTGAGGTTGTGTGTTCTTAAAGTCATAAGACATGATATAATACAGCAATCTCACACACTCAGGAGTGCAGTTTCCTGAATATCTGCAGATCTGATGTGGATTTTAATCTGCAGTTCAACAAACAAGAAGCTGTCAGTGAACGGGTCTCAGTTCTGCCACAGTATTGGCTGTTTATTGCTGATGATTCAGTGAAAATAGTTCAGAGAATGAGTTCAAAACTCTGTGTGTTTCCCCTTCATGAACAAATGTTTTTTTTCCTGAATGAATCATTTGAGTTAATGATTCAGTGATCCATTCATAAATTATGGAATGAATCATTTGAGTCAGTGATTCATTCACAAGTAATGAAATATATCCACTGTTTTGAATGAATCATTTGAGTCAGTGATTCAATGATCCATTCATGAAGACAGTCACTAAAGTTATATTTGAATCAACTGTTTTGACCAAATCATTTGATTCAGTGATTCAATTAAAGTGGTTACTGCTTCATTTATGATTGAATCAACTGTTTTGACTGAGTACATGACTCGGTGAATCACACTTTAAGACCCGGACTCCTGCTGGTGCTTTTAGTCTCATGCAGGAAATGTAAGTGTGTGTGTCTGTGTGTGCAACAGGTCTGACGGAGCCGGTCCTCATTCGTCTGGATGTGGACACTAAACTGAGTGAACAGCTGAAGGTAGAGTCCAGTTCACTGCTCTTCTGTTCACACTAATATTAATATCACTCAGACATTATAAAACAATATAAATGTATGTGTGTGTGTGTGTGTGTGTGTGTGTGTGTGTGTGTGTTCTGCAGCTGTCGTTCTTCTCTCTGCGTCTGGATGATAAGCCGGCTCTTCTGCTGCACCTGCTGAGGAACGTGGTGAAGCCGCAGGAGCAGACGGTGGTGTTCGTGGCCACTAAACATCATGTGGAGTATCTGAAGGAGGTGAGTGAGTGTGTGTGTGTGTGTGTGTGTTAATAGTATGAGGTGGGGACCTCAGCATGTTGGCACACTCACAAAGTGTGGAACTATAACAATAGTGTAGGTCAAATCCCCGGTCCACACAATGTTTTGCCTTTAATAGGCTCAGGAGGTGTTTCTGATGTGCCTGGTGCAGTTTTTCCTTTATCCCCACATGACCATTAACCTGACCTGAGTGTGTGTGTGTGTGGCCAAGCTGCTCTATAGCGCTCCTGTAGTCTGATTGCAGTACTGCACCCTTAAGTTCACTTGTCGTGATAAACACACTCTGCCGACTGCATATCTGCAAATCAGAAGATCCCTGAAGAAACCCCACTGTAATCATCTTAATTAGGATCCATCAACAAATTAATCAGTGTGTGTGTGTGTGTGTGTGCGCGCAGCTGCTGTCAGCGGAGGGTGTGGACTGCTCCTGCATCTACAGTGCTCTGGATCAGACGGCTCGTAAGATCAGCATCGGTCGCTTTGTTCATCGTAAGGTGATGCTGCTGCTGGTGACGGATGTGGCGGCGCGCGGTATCGACATCCCCCTGCTGGACAACGTCATCAACTACAACTTCCCCTGCAAACCCAAGCTCTTCCTGCACAGAGTCGGTGAGACCTCAGTGTTTGGGTGCATCTGACCTTTTACCTCTGACCTCTATACTTGGACCTCTATTTTCTGACATCTGAACTCAAGTCGTTTGTCTCTGACCTTTGACCACTAATCTCTGACCCCTGTTTTTGACATATGACCTTTGAACTTTTTTATACTCTGACATTTGACCTCTCTTCTAACCTTTGACCTCTGCCCTTTATCTTTTGTTCTCTGATCTTTGTCCTCATCCCTGTTCTTTGATCTCTGAACTCTCTTTTATACACTATTCCTTGACATCTAAACAATACCATCTGACCTTTGACCTCTGACATCTGACTTCAATCCTTTGACCTGACATTAGACCTTTGACATCTGGTCTTTGAACTTGGTATTTGTTCTCTGACCTTTGACCTCATCCCTTGGTCCTTTGATCTCTGAACGCTATCCTTTATACTCTATTCTCTGACATCTGAGATATATCTTCTGACCTTTGACCTCTACACTCTGCCCTCTTTTCTGACCTTTGACCTCTGACTTCAATCTTTTGCCCTTTGAACTTTATATTTGACCTCTGCCCTTTACCTTCTGGTCTTTGAACTTGGTGTTTGTCTTCTGACCTCTATCCTCTGAAATTTGACCTCTGACACTTCACCTCTATCCTCAGATTGCTATCTTCTGACCTTTTGTTCTCTATCCTCTGACCTTTAATCTCTGAACTCTATCCTTTATGCTCTATTTTCTGACATCTGAGCTATATCTACTGAACTTTGACCTCTATACCTTGCCCTTTATCCTGACCTTTGCTCTCTGAAATATATATTTTGACATTAGACCTTTGACCTCTGCCCTTTATCTTCTGGTCTTTGAACTTGGTGGTTGTCCTTTGACCTAGTTCCTCTGAAATTTGACCTCTATCCTCAGATTGCTATCTTCTGACCCTTTGTCCTCTATCCTCTGACATTTGACCTCATCCCTCTATCCTTTGATCTCTAAATGCTATCACCTATACTGAATTCTCTGACATCTGAGCTATATCTTCTGACCTTTGACCTCTGTCCTTTACCTTCTGGCCTTTGAACTTGGTTTTTGACCTCTATCTTCAGATTGGTATCTTCTGGCCTTTGACCTCTGCCCTCTATTTTTTGACTCCTGTCCTCTATCCGCTGACATCTGACCTTTAACCTCTGTGCCTTAGGTCGTGTGGCTCGCGCTGGTCGAGGGGGAACAGCATACAGTCTGGTGTGTCCTGATGAGGTGCCTTACCTGTATGACCTGCACCTGTTTCTGGGTCGACCCATGCAGCTCGCACACCCCGAACACACACAAGGTACTGCACACACACACACACACACACGCATATATACACAAACAAAACATATATAAAACAAAAACACACTTATATACACACAAACACACATACATACACACACAATCAAACACACACGTATACACACAGAAGTGCTTCTGGTGCTGCTCAAACGAGCCTGCAGCAGAGTCCAGACTGAGCCTACACACACACACACACACACACACACACACACGCATGCACTGTGTCTGCCCTGTGCTCATGATAACTTTGCTGTCCTGTTGTGTGTGTGTGTGTGTGTAGAAGCGGACGGTGTGTTCGGCCGTGTTCCTCAGAGTGTTCTGGATGATGAGGAGTGTCAGCTGATCACGGCGCATCAGAACTCTCTGGACCTGCAGAATCTCAGACGCGTGTCAGAAAACGCTTACAAGCAGTACCTGAAGTCCAGACCCGTCCCGTCTGCAGAGTCCATCAAGCGCAGCCGCAACACACAGCTCACAGACATGGCGGTACACCCGCTGCTGGGTCAGTGTGTGTGTGTGTGTATAAAAGAGTGCATGTGTGTGTGTTTAAGTGTGAGCATGTGAGTGTATGTTTGTGGGTGTGTCACAATGCTTGAGTGTTTGTGGGTGTGTGCGCTTGTGCGTGTGAGCCTGTGTGTGTAGAGTGAGCATGTATGTGTCTTGTTTTTGAGTGTGTGACAATGCTTGAGTGTGTGTTTGTGTCACCCTCTGTCGGATGTGTTTGTGTGTAGTGAGAGTGTGTATGTGTTTGTGACAGTGCTTGAGTGTGTATGAATGTGTTCACATGTTAATCTCTCTGCTGTGTGTGTGTGTGTGTGTGTGTGTGTGTGTGTGTGTGTGTGTGTGTGTGTGTGTGTGTGTGTGTGTGTGTGTGTGTGTGTGTGCGCGCAGGCTGTGGGCTGGAGAAGATGGAACTGGATCGACTGCTGATGGTCGACACCATCAAGGGCTACAAGGCCAAATCTGTACGTTTACTCACACTCGCGCACACACACACACACACACACACACACACACACACACACGCACACATACGCACATTGTTTTCAGAGCATAATGTAGTGTTTTCTCCAGTTGAGGTGTGTGTGTGTGTGTGTGTGTGTGTGTCTCAGACTATTTTTGAGATCAACTCCAGCAATAAGACGAGCGCTAGCGAGGTGATGCGCGCCAAACGCTCCCGGGACCGCCAGCGGGTGGAGAAGTTCAGCAGAGCAAGAGCAGAGCTGAGGGCGGAGCCAGGGGCGGGACTTAGGGCGGAGCCACCAGTGCACAGAGAGACACAGGAGGAAGACGAGGAGGAGCAGGAGGAGCTGTCGGTGAGCCACCGCATTCACACACACACACACACACACACACACACACACACACACACACACACACACACACGTATATATGTATAGACACAACTTGTTCTCTGAGCCCAGTGTGTGTGTGTGTGTGTGTAGACGGTGTTCTCTGAGGTGGTTGGAGGTAAGAGACGGAGGCCGGATGCGGAGCCGCACACACACAAGAGCAAGAAGAGCAGAACAGCGGGCCGAGACCAGGAGTTCTACATCCCATACAGACCCAAAGACTTCAACTCAGAGCGCGGGTACTGTGTGTGTGTGTGTGTGTGTGTGTGTGTCAGACAGTATAGAGTCTGCATCACTATACTGGGGCAGTAGGCTCAGTGTGTGTATTGTTAATAGTGGGTTTGTTTGTGTGTGTGTGTGTGTGTGTATAGACGCAGTGTGTGAATTGTGTGTGTTGTTAATGTTCAGTGTGTGTGTGTGTGTGTGTTTTATCAGTGTGTGTTTCTAGTAATGCTCAGTGGTGTGTTAATGAGCTGTGTGTGTGTTAATTCTCATTGTGTATACAGTGTGTGTTAATGGTGTGTGTGTGTGAGCTCACTGAGTGAGTTGTGTGTTAATACTCTGTGTTTGTTGCTAATGGTGTGTGTGTGTGTGGTAATGCTCAGTGTGTGTCAATACTCAAGTGTGTATGTTATGCGTGTTGTTAATGATGTTTAATAACTGTGTGTGTGTGTGTGTGTGTGTGTGTGTGTGTGTGTAGGCTCAGTCTGGACTCTGGTGCGGGCTCGTTTGAGCAGCAGGCCTCCTCTGCAGTTCTGGATCTGATTGGAGATGAGAGCAACACATTAAACCAGCACAAGAGCCTGATGAAGTGGTGAGTGTGTGTGTGTCTGTGTGTGTGTCTGTGTGTGATTATCTGTGTGTGTCTATTTCTGACCGCACGTGTGTGTTCACCACAGGGACCGCAAGAAGAAGCGCTTCGTCCGTGACACCGGCAAAGAGGACAAACACAAGAAGATCAGGACGGAGAGCGGACAACTGATCAGAGGACACAAGAAGAAGAAGAGCTTGTATCCTTCACACACACACACACACACACACACACACACACACACACACACATCATTATATTATCATTATTATTAATATAACACATCACACAATACACCACACACACACTATTATAATACATCACACAACACACACACACTAATAAACACATCACACCTCGCACTACTGTCACACACAACACAGACACACTATTGTCCACCTGTGCTGGTGTGTTGTCTTGACGGAGCTACAGTTATGAAGAGTGGAAGAAGAAGTATAAGGTGGAGGGCGGAGCTTCAGACTCTGATGGAGAAGGGGGAGGAGCTCAGAGGGGGCGGGGCTCTGCAGGTACATCAGTGTTTATACCGGCTCTACTCTCTGACTGTGTGTGTGTGTGTGTGTTTGTGTGTGTGTGTGTTTTGTATCTGTGTTTGTTTATTTGTGTCTGTATGCGTGTGTGAGTTACTTTGTGTGTTTTGTGTGTCTCTGTGTCTTGTGTATCTTTGTTTGTGTGTGTATTTGTATGTCTGTTTGTGTGCATTTGTGTCATTCCTGTATCTGAGTGTATTTTGTGTGTGTATTTTCTGTTTGTGTGTGTCAGTGAGTGTATTTTGTGTGTGTATTTTGTGTGTGTGTGTCTGTGAGTGTATTTTGTGTGTGTATTTTGTGTGTGTGTGTCTGTGAGTGTATTTTGTGTGTGTATTTTGTGTGTGTGTGTCTGTGAGTGTATTTTGTGTGTGTATTTTCTGTTTGTGTCTCTGTGAGTGTATTTTGTGTGTGTATTTTCTGTTTGTGTGTGTCAGTGAGTGTATTTTGTGTGTGTATTTTGTGTGTGTGTCTGTGAGTGTATTTTGTGTGTGTATTTTCTGTTTGTGTGTATCTATGAGTGTATTTTGTGAATTTTGTCTCTCAGACTGTATTTTGTGTGTGTGCACGCTTTTGTATGTGTGTGTGTGTGTTTTTCTTGTGTGCGTGTGTGTGTGTGTGTGTGTGTGTGTGTGTGTCTGCGTACGTGCATGCATTTTTGTTTTGTGTTTGTGATGTCCCCACAATTCACAAAAACAAACGTGTGTGTTCAGGTCGTCGGGGTCGTGGTCGGGGTCGCTCTGCAGCAGGTTCCCAGGCTACGCCAGCGCAGCATCAGGGCGGTTCAGGCGTTCGCTCGGAGCTGAAGAACCGGCAGCAGATCCTGAAGCAGCGCAAGAGGAAAGCCAAGCAGCAGTTCCTGCAGAGCGGAGGCATGAAGAAGCTCAGAAACAAGGGAAAACAGCGCCTCCGAGAGGTCATGAAGTCCGGCTTCGGCCGCGGAGCAGTCAAGAAGGGCAAGATGAGGAAGAAACTTTAGGAGAATATGCATCGTGTGTGTGTGTGTGTGTGTGTGTGTGTGTGCGTGTGCGCGTGCGTGCGTATGTGTGTGTGTGTATGTTTATAAGAATAATATGGAGATCAGTGTGTGTTTGTCATCTCTGCGTCTGCATTAAAGGTGTGTGTTGTTCAGCTGAAGCTCTGTTGACGCCAGTGGCAGAACATTATTACCACAGTAAATCATTTCCAGCGCTGTTTTTAATAAATGCAGGAAGCATGAACATTGACTGCACTGATGGAAGTGAAACACACAACGTTATACACACCTGGACACTGACGTGATGTAATGATCGTAATTCTGTCCAGTCATTGTCACCGTGACAGGTTCTGCTGATAATGCTAGTGTTGCTGGCCAATATTGGAGAGTGTTGTGTCTTTATTATTGAGAAAGGCCAACAGATATTGTGTTTGTGTCCCATTGGCCTGGTTAGTTGCCCTGTGCCACACCTGGTTGCCCATTGATGACATCATTTGCCCAGCGGCATTTCTCAGCATTAGTCATGAGTTAATGTCTGATCATCGAGAGGTTTACTCCACCTGAAGGACCCGGGGGAAATGGATTAAAGGAATTCATGTGTTAACCACTGGACTATTTGTGTTATTGCTCAAATCATAAACTAAATAAATGTAAAATAATAATAATTTTGCTCAAATAATAAATTGATTTGTCCCACCTTGCCAGGTTGCACTACCACCCATTCACAAAGTAGGTAGGCCAAGTGTAATTTGCTGATAACACACTGATACCCATCAGATTTAGCTACCAGTGTAGTTTATTGTGGAGTTGTGTGAAGCTGTAAAATCGCACAAACCCACCTAATCCCCAACCTCAGAGCCATTCAAATACAGTGTTGGTAGCATAATCTGAGGGGTGAAACGGCAGGACACCGCAATAATACGGAAACGTCAAATTTACTGTCTCGCACACATAAACACCAAGTGTTTGTTGTTAAGTGGCCCACATACTGCAAAAGAAGCTGAAAGATCATTCTGAGTTCATGGCAAAATATATTTGGTAGTGATCTGACCCATATCTGTTCAGCAGCCATGCCACATGTGCCAGCTGTTAGCCACATTGTGGCCCAAATGTTCTCGCTATCTAGGCGTAATTTGATGAAAAATGGTAACAATCTGCGTTATGATGACAAGTATAGCTTTATAAATGTACACACCTGTTTAAAAGATCACAATATTAAAACCGTTCAAGAATTCAAGATGGAGATGATGACCGTTAAACGCGCCATAACCGAAATCTGCAGCACGCATGCGCCACAGGTGTGATCGATGAGACGCAGATTAGAAGAAGCGAGCTTGTTTACACACGAGAAATGACGCGAGAAACACCAATGTTTACTTAAGATCATGAAGTAACTCCTCTACGACGAACTGAACCGGTCACTGTGTTGGTGTTAACGCCAATATCACCGACTGGACTCTCAGAATTGTTGTCATTCCTGAAAATCAACAATGAAACCCTCAGAAATGTTTGTAAGCAGCCGCAGCTCATCTGAAGAGGTAAGAGAGGTCTAAAGAAAACAAACATATATCCTCATCACTTTATTTTCACAACTCTCCCTACTGAAAAACTGATTAAACCAGCATAGGGTTGTTGGCTGGTTTTAGCTGGTCAACCAGTCTGGTTTTAGAGGGGTTTTAGCTATGTCTTGGCTGGGAGATGACCTGCTAAATCCAGCTTGACCATTTTCCAGCCTGACCAGCTTAGACCAGCCTGGAAGTAGCCAAGACCTCTTTAAAACCAGGCTGATTGACCAGCTAAAACCAGCCAACCAGCTTAAGCTGTTTTATCAGCAGGATAGGATTAATATGACCACAATATGAAGATAACCCGTACTGAAATCCAAAATATGGCCATCATGTGTATATAAACATACATAAAGTTAAAGGCAATATAAATTTGTACATTGTTGAAAAAATATGCAAACGGACATTTTTGCTTCACTCACTGGCCTCTTTATTAGGTACACCTCACTAGTATCGGGTCGGACCCCTTTTGCCTCCAAAACTGCTTTAATCCTTGGTGTCAAAGATTCAACAAGCTACTGGAAATATTCCTCAGAGATTTTGCTCCATATTGTCATGATAGCATCACACAGTTGCTGCAGATTTGTCGGCTGCACATCCATGATGCCAATCTCCCGTTCCACCACATCCCAAAGCTGCTCTATTGGATTGAGCTCTGGTGACTGTGGAGGCCATTTAAGCACAGTGAACTCATCGTCATGTTCAGCAGTCTGAGATGATTGAGCTTTATGACATGCTGCGTTATCCTGCTGGAAGTAGCCGTCAGAAGATGGAGACACTGTGCTCATAAAGGGATGGACATGGTCAGCAGCAATACTCAGGTAGGCTGTGGCGTTGATGCTCAATTGGTACTAATGGACCCAAAGAAAATCTCCCCCACACCATTACACCACCACCACCAGCCTGAACCGCTGATACAAGGCAGGATGATCCATGCTTTCATGCTGTTGAGGCCAAATTCTGCTCGCTCTGAACTGCAGCAGATCCTCTTGATCATGTCTACATGCCTAAATGCAGTGAGCTGCTGCCATGTGATTGGCTGATTAGACATTTGCGGTAACAAGCAGTTGGACAGGTGTACCTAATAAAGTGGCTGGTGAGTGTATGAACGTAACATTAAAGCTAATATATGTATATGCGTGTGTGGACGTCCATTTTTCATGCACAAATCCAAGCAAGAATATGTACTTTGCATGCATCACATTTCTATATAAGACGTCTGATTGATTAGGAGCTGCAAAATCCTGTTGTAAACACACCAGCCTGACTGTGATTGTGTGATTTGTGTGATTGTATGACAGGACGGTGTATAATTGTGACTGAAGGGTGGAGTTGATCTTCAAATGAGTGAGTAACGGTGTTGTTCTGAATGGGGCCCTCCATTCACACAGCTGCTGGAATTGGCTTTTGTTTACAAATGGTGTACGGTGGTGGGAAAAAGTGTTTGCCCCCTTACTGGTTTCTAATTTCTAACAAATGTCTTTATAACCTTTTTTTATACTGTTAGATCAGTTATTTTATTTCTCATTTGTTTTTGAATTTGTTGGATCTCAGCAGAATGTTTTGAGGATCTTTTGGTCTACTTCGCTTTGTCGGGCAGCTTCTATTTAGGTGATTTCTTGATTGTGAACAGTGAGAAATTGAACTCGGGTGTGATGAACCAGAGTAAAGCTGCAGTCACACTGAACTTTTCTCCCCATAGACTTCTATTCATACGCACGTGAATGCGTCAGACTGGAAACGCAGGGTCATGCATCAAGTTTCGCAGTGCAAATTTCAAGTTTGGTGAACTTTGACCTGCGAAACCGCATCACTTGACTGCATGAGACCAATCGAGGATCAAAACATGAGCTCTTTGGTCAGAAATTAAAACATGGAGCAACCGCTTGCTTTTTTTAATGTCTAATAATCTTGTTTAATCCCGCCCCTTTTCACAGCGCCGCATGACAGAATTTTGCATGCTCAAACTCTAATGTGACCGCAGCTTTGTTTTAACACCGGGGGGTGAAGACTTTTTCACAAGGGTAAATCGTGCTGATGCGGATGTTCTTGTTGTTGGTTGACTGCACTGCGTATGAGATTCTCCATCAGATGCCTTACTTATAGGGAGAAATTCAGTGATTTACAAACTTGAGTGTCTGCAGTGGGCACTTCACTGCTGTTTACGGCTTTCTCACCGTTGCTGACCGTCAGCTCTGCTTGTTTGTGAGCTGATTTGCGGCGCTGTGGATTGAACACATTTACTCATTTAGCAGATCATTTCCTTCAAAGCTCTTTAAGGGACTAATTAAAGAAGCTCTTCATGTCATCAGAGAGTTGCAGTATATTATAAATGCTACAGAAAGTGTGGAGCTCACTCAGATCTGCACTGTGTGTTCTAAGAAGTGTTGGCTGCTTATTAGGAGGAGTCTGGTGCATGCGGAGAGCATCATCATATTGTTCAGCTCTAGCAGTGGAGCAATGCTGACAACATGCTAACCCATGCTAAAAATGCTAATACATACTGAGAACATGTCAGCAAACATGCTTATTCATAATGAATTTATGCTTACAAGATACTAACTCACACTAAAACATGTTCGTTCATACTAGAAACATGCTAGCAACATAAATCATACAGGAAACATGTTAACAACATGCTAATCCATACTAGAAACATGTTAACGAACCTGCTACTTCATATTAAATTTATGCTAAGAACATGTGAATTCACACTAAAAACATGCAAATTCATACTAGAAACATGCTAGCAACATGTTAATTTGTACTGAAAACCTGTTAGCAAACATGCTGGTTCATGCTAAATTTATTCTAACAAGATGCTAATCTATTCTGAAAACATGCTAACAACATGTTAATTCCCACTGTAAACATGCTGACAACATGCTAATCCATACTGGAAACATGCTGACAACATGCTAATTTATATTGGAAACACGTTAACAATATGCTAATGCAAACAGGAAACATGTTCACAACATGCTAATTCGTAGTGGAAACATGATAACATGCTAATACATACTAGAAACATGTTAGTGAACATGCCAATTCATGCTATATTCATGCTAAGAATATGCTAATTCACATTGAAAACATGTTAATTCATATTGGAATCATGCTCTCATTATGCTGATTTATACTAACAAACAACATGCTATACTGGAAACATGTTGGCAACATGCTAATTCATAAAAAAAAATTATTCTAACAAGATACTAATTCACACAAACACATTCATTCATACTAAAAACATGCTAGCAACATGCTACTTCAATCTGGAAACATGCTGACAACATGCTAATCCATACTGGAAACATGATTCTATTCTATTCTAGAAACTTGTTAGCAAACATGCTAAATTGTACTAAATTTATGATAAGAACATCCTAATTCACAATAAAAACATGCAAATCCATACTGGAAACATGCTGACAACATGCTAATCCATACTGGAAACATGCTGACAACATGCTAATGCATACCGAAAACATGCTACAACATCCTAATCCATACTGAAAACATGCTGACAACATGATAATTCATACCGGAAACATGCTGACAACATGCTAATCCATACTGG